AACTACACACATTTAAAGAAGGGATGGTAGAAGTAGGCTTCTCTTGCTTTAACTTCGCCAAATTAGTAGAAGAAACCCTTAGAAATAATTGTGTGGTCCTCTACAATAGATGCAAACATTCTTCATCTATGCATCCTATGGGGTCTTGGTTAGCTATGAAATCAATGTGATTAGATAGAAGGACCCCAACCACGTATTATTCTAGACACAAAGCTATGTTCTGACCAATGATGATTATCTTATCTAATGCCTTTTGCATGCATTATTGTGAGACACTCCTTCCTCTTTCTAATGTTTACTATCTTTCATCTTATGCATAATTGCATATTATCACCATTCTCTAGCCCCCTTTTCATCTCCCAATTTCTTATTTTGAAGGTGAAGCTTATAGAATTTTATTTCTCATCTCTTGACAAGATCAAAATAATGAAGCATCTGTAAAAATCCCCAAATTTGAAGGTGAAGCTTTCTTGAAGAAAGTTTTTAAGCTGTCTCCAAAAGGCCATTATGGTCATTTTTAAGGATTTGAGTTAAAAATACCATAATTGACCTTTACATTTCAAAGATATACATCTTCATCATAACAATGTTGAAAGGGTGATATGGTTTGTAATTAGTTAACTTAATCTAGAAAGTGACCTATTATAGTATTATCTAGGAACGGAGAAATTCAACAGTAGCAAGCTAAGGTCTCTAGCATTAGCAAGCTTTATGCAACTTAATTGACAACTTTTCAATTTCTAGTACTACAAGTCGTTAATGATTCTAGTAAAACCTTGTTGGTACTAAATTATGCTTAGTTAGTACAGAGTATTAATTTAAGGGTATGCTATATGCAGCTTTAAGGGGTTAGGGCTGCATATAAGCATTATATACACTTCTTAAATTTTGCAAAGTTAGGAATTCATGATAAAATCACGCGTAAATTAGTGTAGTTAATGCTTGTTTTTTCTAAAAACATGTGTAAACAAAAAAAAAGTAAATATTTGATAAAATAAACATTAATTACACTGTTCTACGCGTGTTTTTGTCTTAAATTCCTTAATTTACACTATTTTAGAATGTGTATTTAATGCTTATATGTAGCGCATATAGCATTGCCTTTGTTTTTTATAAACTAGAATTTAAGCTTTTTGTGGTATCAAGTATTTTTTTTTTTTGTTATAAAATGAGTACCAAGCTACCAACTATGTACAATTTAGAACCAACAACTACTAGTCATTAATGGCTCAAGGTTGAGAAGCTCCTCTAACCTAATTACACATGAGAAGAATTAATATGGAACAATTGGAGGTGTGTGTGTGTGTGTTTTTTCAATAAAAATGAAGGCTCCCTCAACAGAAGTTATCGTTGATAGGGACAATAGGGCCCTGCTGGACGGTTGTTGCAAGAATTAATTCGGATAGAAAAAAAAAATTAATGGGCGGTCGAATTCCATTAGGCAATATTAGATGTTATCAATTACAGTGTCTGTTAGTTGTTATAAGTTAGAAAGAAGTAAAATCACTTGAATGTTGAATCTAATAGCTAATCTCAACTGAAATCAGCTACACTTTTTTCTAACTTTTCTAATACACTGCCTTTAAATTTCAAAATCTTTGTATTTTGAGTAATATTTTACATCTCCACTGAAATCAGCTACACTTTTTCTAACTTTTCTAATACACTGCCTTTGAATTTGAAAATCTTTGTATTTTGAGTAATATTATACCAAACCTTATGTTTTACTTTCAGAAGAAAAAAAAGTTTTGACCGAGTTAAAATTCCGTTTACTTAGAAATTATTATTGCTGAATATGGCAGTAGACTCGTAATTACACCGAACTGTAGAAAGTACGAGTTTTTACGAAGACCATTCAACTTTCTTATCGTCAATATTTCTTGTTTTCTTTTCTATGAAACAAATACGGAGTAAGAAGTATTATGTGGTTTCTAATTTATGATGGGCATGTAGGTATCATATGGATGCCCAATTGTGGTGTATCATGGATTCATGGTACATGCATAAATCATAAACAGTTATTTTCATGTAAAGAATCATTTGCCTACAGCAGTACAAGTGTACAACCTATTTGGCGGCGTTTATGTTTGTTGGGCCCAACTTTTACTCTTTTAGGTCTTCCATTTAACGTGTGGGTCTGTGGTCTTTTTGCATGATGTTACTAAGACATCACAATGACGTTGGATACATCCAAGAGACCAAGAGCTTGACCTTGGGTTGACTTTGAAATTTCTTCAACACAATAGACTTTCATAATTTAATTTTGTTACTTTTTCAAACTAATTTCAAAACTAAAAGAAATCTTAATTTTCATGTAGGTATACTAGTGTGATTGGCTTATTTTACTTTTTAAATTTATTATTTTTTGTTGAGGTAAGGAGGTTATATCAAGCCGGAGTCACGCATAAGTCAACAAACCCATATTAGAATGGATAATGTCCCTTAAGAATGGGTGGAGCCGTGGAGGGGGGTATAATGCCCCTTAGGAATGGATAATACGGGATTTGATCCCACAATTTTTCCACCAGACCAAGCTTTGCTTGGCAATGCGCGAGACATATAGGAACATTAGAAGCCTGTAGCCATAGAAGTTATAGTTCACATCAACAGTTGGAAATAATCAATAATCTAAGGTTCTTCAGTTCATTCAAATGATTATAACATTTAAAGATTCTGTGAAGTTTGCTACAGTATTAATTCTTGGTATTTGATATAAGTCTTTCTTTCATTGATAAGCCTACAATGATGTACCTCTTCAGAGAGATGATGTTAGGCTTTTAGTTTCGTGGTCCAACCTTGTTGATATTGATTATTGCTAAAACATTCCTTTCATTATATTACTTAGTAGTTCAAACCTACTTTTTTTTTTTCCCTTCTAAGGACATGTACTCGTCTAATTTCTCTTCGATCCCTTTGTAATCTCTTTATTCCCTAGGCTGCCTCTAGTTTAGGAGACGACGGGACTACAGAGTATTTCTAAATACAAATATGACCATTCAATTCCGTTTGATGATATGCGACCAGAAAGGGAACAACCGCATTACTGTCTCTGAGTCACGCACTGTAAATCATACATGTTACGTGGCTAGATACAGGGTGTGGATTTAATAGCAATAGGTCACATCAAAATGCTTCCAAATTTGATTGAATTAAAGCACCTGAGGCTACTATGAAATTTCCATAAGAATCTAAATTTCCAATTGAATCAAAATGTAGCTCATTTGAACTGATTAGGGTCGATAGGATTAGGAGTTGCAGACCCAGTGATAGGTCCCCTTAGCTTACTCCTCTTAGTACACGGAAACACGACTACACAAGCACAGATGTGGAAAGTGTCAATTTGAAGTGCAATAAATGGGAATAACCTCCTCCAAAGGTTTGTAATGCCTTGTTTCGTACGATCAACTCTGTTATATGAATGGTTCTTATGCCTTGCTATTCATTCTACTTCTTTTGGCCAGTATGCCATTTCATCATTCTGTGTTAAGACTATAATTGATAAATTTCTAACTTGTTTGAACATCTGAATATATTTGTTAATGTTATATTGCTGTCAAGTCCTGATCATTTACATGACAGTTTAGTTTTTTTTCTGTTGAAGTCTGGACCAGTAATATACACTTCTGTATTTGGACTTCTTCAATTTAGATTTGTCGTTTTGAGCTAGGTGTATTTCCAGCTATGTTTGACAAGTCTTTTCGAACTTCATAGAGAAATATTTTTCTAAACCATGATTTTAACACTATTTTTCTAAACCTTGATTAAAGCTATCAATTTTCCTTGAAGGCTCCATTTGTCTTATGAAACATTATTTTCTAAAGAAAATCATTTTTGATGGAGAATAGATTGTGAAAAGGGTTTTTTTGTTTGTTTGTTTGAATATAGGAAACTTATAGAAAACAAGAAAATGGGAGTAAAAGGAAAGAGGGGGGGGGGGGGGGAAGAGGAGCGAATTGATAGGTAAAGAAGAAAATATGAGTTTTTCACTCTTTAAAAACAAACAAACAAACAAAGGAAAATGGAGGAATGATAGTTGGAAAATGATTTTACAAAAAAGCAAAAAGAGCCGAATGTTGTTAAAAACATTATGGAGTATTATCAAAACCAACACATTGGGAATCTATTTCTTTTTTTTTTTTTTTTTTTTTTCTATTAAGTTTTTGAAAATGTAAAGATGAATTGTTTCTTTAGATTCTTTGGCAATGTCACATAACGATCTTTGATGAGGACAATATAAGCATAAAATAAACAAATGTGAACCTTTTTTTATAGACGTGAAAAAATGACTTGTTTTTAATGAATTAATGTCCTAATATAAATCTTTCTTCTGCTTTCAAGGGATTCGTGTTTTTAAGTGCAGCAGTAAGGTGACCAATACATTTGCTGATACACAACTTTAAGATACCCATTTTTATAAATTTCAACATGTTGATATAATGAAAATACACATTGAAAAATTCAGTCAAAGTCATTAGTGAATAGTGCAACAAGTACGCTTAAAAGAAAAACGGAGAGAGTATGCATTTATTAGTTTGTAAGAGTGAGTGACATGTTGAAATTCATACGCTTATACATCACCTGGGCAGATGCCCAATTTAATGTTGATTATGCCTCAGCTACCTAACTCCCAAAGGCCAAATCACACTTTACAGGCTTCGGAACTTTTTGTGATGTTACCTGCTGTTCCTTAAGCCTGGTGAATTGATACTAGCTACTACGAGTACTATGTACAATGATATAACACGATTGTTTTAATAGCTTAGTAGTAGGAGACTTGGGGGAATAATTTCTTGTCTTAGGTTTTTGAATCAACCGGGGGAGTGGGGAGAGTTTGGTGATCCCAAACCGCACATAGAGGGGTGCGTGTTTATTATGGTCCCATGGAAGCTGTGTGTTGACACATTGCATGTATGTGCTGATAGTAGCACCATTCTCGGTGTTTTTACTTAGGAAAACCAATTCAGGTTTGAATTTAGAGTGGGCGATTTTCTGAATCATATGGATTGAAGAAATACACCCAAAAACGGAAAGAACTGTTGAAACTGCAAGTCATGAATTTCTCATGCATGTATGTAGTAGATCTACTAAAAATCTACCTACATTTGCTAGTACTAACACTCCTCCCAACTTAACACAATAACACAACATGTCAAATTAAGTGAGAATTTGATGACTTCACTGTAGTATACACAACCCAGAAAGTGCAGGAAAATACATGCACCTGGTTAGTATCTAGTCTAGTATATTGGGCTGTCAAAAAAGACAACAAATCCTATATGGTGTTTAGTATAGTAGTATTCTTCCTAAAAAAAAGCATTTATATGTATATATATGCTACTCTGCCCCTACAAGGCTACAACCTCTGCAAATAGAATTTGCGAGTGCGAAAATGAAGTACTAAAGCAAGGACAATTCCTAAGGAACATAGGGATCCCCAGATGCCGAAGGTTTTGCTGTAACATTGCAGACCCAAGCATCTGCCATGCCCATCTCCTTCTTTACGATACAAAAGTGCTGCTAACCCTCCGAATAGGAAGGACCCTAGAGGGATATTTGCGACCACAACATTATGATTCACTCCAAAATTGTTGGGTCCAAAAAGCTCTGTTGTTGTAGAAACTGAAATGGCAGTGATTATGCCAGTTGAAAAACTTATAATTGCTGTACTGAAATGAAGTAAAAGGTTGCTATTATTTATTATGAGCAAGAAGAATGCTGCTGCCATTGGCATCATTGCAACTCCTATAGAGGCCGGCCCTGGAACCATGCACTTGCTCCTGCTTGACAAAAAATACATAGTAAATCAAAGATCAGTTTCACTTCGCAGGATGCGCTAAGAATTGTTTGGTTTAACTCATTTCCGTGGGAAGTTTTACTTACCTAGGGGAGAACTAAGTAAGCAACTTCCTCCACTGGATGGGATGTCAACCAAACAACATCAGGGATTAGCCAAGACACACTTAGTTTTATTACAACGTGTCCTGGAATATATATAGTAGTAAGTTTGCTAGTTGAAGCATACCTGGAGTAGGCATAGTCGAGGGCAGTTGGCAAGAGACGGCCAAAAAACACGAATGCAGAGGCTAATGAGACCAAAGAAGATATCCTAGCATAGCCTCGAGACTCTGCTATTTGTCCCAAGTTGTTTAGATAAACCAGTCCCAGAGTGGCACCAGAAATGTATATGAAGAAGTACAACCAGAAATTCAGTCTCTTCAGCATCAATTTGACACCAATTTCTTCCATGGCACAAATTTCTTGCTTGACTTCAACAATATTATCACTCTGATCTTTGATTCGATTCTCAACATCTTGCTGATCATCTACTTCATCTGCATCAGTTGTAAGATCGCATACTCGTCTTTCCCTGTTAATACGACATTTTTCTTCCAATATATGAACAAAAAATTCTGCCATAGGAATTAGTAACAGTGCTGTTAGACAGACTCCTAAACCAACCACCTTAAACCGCGGTGAGGACTTCCTTGAGATTGGTCCCAAGTTACTCATTACAGCATATATTCCAGTGGCTATTGTTATCACTAGAACACCAAAAAACCCACGTCCAACCCTCTTAGGCTTATCATTATCAATATGCCGGAGAAAGGGTGCAGTTATGATACTAACTACTAAAGGAAAGAGAGAATTGAAAAGCATATATTCTTCAGCTTTTTTAGAATGCTTAGAAGAAAACGCACCAACAGCTGCAGTATAAATTACAGCACTTAATCCTAAATAGCAAGTACTCAGACCAACAGCAGCCTGCCTATGAAAGGGGAAGTTTTGTATGGAAACCAGATAACAAACTGTGTTGATCCAGCAAATGCCGTTTCCAGCTAAAACTGTGAGAAAGAATATATGCCAGTATGAAAGGAAAGTAATATGGTGGGTGAGGAAAAGATACTGCAAACCATAGCCGATCAAGCCGAGAGAAGAACCAATTAAAAGAACTAGCCACAAAGGTAGGTAAATGGCAGCAATGCCAGCAAACCAACCAAAGAGCTTCCCTGCATCAGATGCAAGTGCAAGGTTGTTGAGTTGCAGTTGGGATATGGAAAGGAGTTGCTTTAGCTGAGAAGAATAAGCAGGGAAGTTAGAATTGGTTCCGTTTATCGATTGAAGCCATATAATACCCACCAAGCTTAGCCATTGAAGAGCTGTGCTTCGAGTCATGATATGGCTGTAGTGGCTAGGTGGGTTTATATATTTTCTTAGACCAAAATCTATATTTCGAATATTTGATCTACCCTATTATTCCCTTCTTTATAGGCAAAATTCAAGTACATATAAGAGAGCCCTCTTTGAGAGGGAAAGGATGTGAATGAAAGACAAAGAGCTAGAAAGATATGTAAGTAGTTTTGGACAAAACTATATATTGTGGCTGGAAAAAATATAATGTGGATTTTTATCTACCACCACCTTCAGTTTTAATGTTGATGTACGAGCTTGATTAATGGAAAAATCATGAGTGATCGTAATACACACGCATTAATATTTGATGTGAGTACAAGCATGTGCATGCATGCCATATATTATATCATGGGCAACTACTTAAATTCCTTTCTTGGTTGGGGTTGGGATGATCTTATCTTGGGTTCTTGTTGGGTTAAATCTTTGCTCTTCCCAATCTTATTCCATAACCATGAGCATGATATACGGCCCTATATTGTCCACTCAGTCTTGAGTGTGATCGGTCTATAAGTGAGACACGCAGTAGGTCACCTTGATCTAATATGAAAACTTATCACCCTCAACAATATAACAAGTCACTTCGAACCCCAGTTGGACCCCAGTTGGATGTATCGATAAAATTAGTTGCGACCTGTTACACATACAAGAGTTTCTGCCATTAATTTCAAGCCTATCATATAATATGTCTTTATCAACAGAATAGTGAGACGCCGCCTGCAAGGGTAATTATTTAGAACCACCCACACATATCATAGGGTCCCAGTAATGAAATGAGAAAATCTTATTTATGGCTAAACTTGCTAATCAAATTAACAGAACCAACTGTAATTAATCTCATTAAGCGATAATTCTAGGATTTTCGACAGGCTAAATATAATTATGATTATGATTACGACTATGATGATGTAAATATTTTGACTATGATGTAAAAATATTTGTTACAGATTATCTTTGTTCCTGACTAGAGAATTAGAAACAGGTGTGAAGAGAAAAACATGGTAGTCAAGAGAGAGACCAATCAATTGTCTTAATACAAAGTATAGCATTAATTGCGTTGCTAACACTGAACTAATCATGTCACTAAACTTAGACAAGTTTTCCGGAATTGTTAAGGAACTTTTTCCTCTTTTAAGTCAAGGCAATTTATGTACATTTATTATTATATACCTAAAGTGACAGTACTGCTATTTCATTTTCATAGGCGTTATAAACTAAAGCATATACATTATATACGGTACAATCTTAACAAGATAACGCAATACAAGTACATAATTTTGAAATATATGAAACATAGAAAGTAAAATGCTAAAGGTTTAAGGTTTCCGTTATTAAAAGAGGACAAAACTTATAATCTTTATGTTATGTTACACTCTTCTTCTACATGGTTTATTCATGTTCCGATTTGCACTGCTTCTTTATAGCGTGTCACTAAATTACGGTGGCGGCCCAATAGTTTCTCATAGAACTGGCCTGCTTTATATGAAGCAATCAACTGCAACGTGAAGCAAATTAAAGCCTCTACGCAAAAATAGTAAAATGGACATTCAAGAGTTAAGCATCTTTCCACTTCTAGTGTGAAAAGGATAATACTTGTGAGTTGTGACTATGCTTTGATTGATTAAAGTAATAGGACCAACTACAGGTAAAAACAGTTGAGAAATCATTAAGCACAAAAGACGGTGTAAATTGAGTCATAATAAAAAACAGCAATATGGCTACAATTATCAGGTAGATTTATCGTATAATTATAACTGTATGTCATTAGTCTTTAATAATAAATTAGTGTACGAAGTACATTTATGGTTAAAATTGTGCATTGACAAATTGTATTCGACAGACTATTATAAGTATTCTAAAATGGAAAAGCAAATTAATATCCATGAAAATAAGAAGTTTACAAAAAATATTTTGTCATGTTAGCCAACCAAAATTTTCTTATAAATCATTCAAAGGTGTCTTATTAGATCGCATCATCTTATGTTAATTCATTAACATGTTTAAAAGTTACCCCGAAATCTCCGAATCATCAACCTATACAACAATGAAACGCAAAGGCCAAAAGAAAAGAAGTCGTCTTTGGACTATGATGCAGCAAAGCTGGCTAAGACCTCTGTTACAAGCTTTGCCCGAGTAATCAAAAGAAGAAAAAGGAAGCAACCTCCATTTCATAATTGCTTATCTTTTCTTAAACATGAACGAATTGATTGATAGATAAATCAGGAGGATAGGACGTGCAAAAAACAAACACTTGGCTTTCTTTTCACAAATGCAACAAAATTTATTTGGAGTTTGGCCAATGAAAATTTAAATAGTTTGAGAGTTCACACCGTTGCTCTAATACCCCAAAATAGTAGGGACACTCCGTAGCTCACTGAATCTTCAATTTCTTCCCAAATCCCAAGGCATGTTATATAATTCCAATTTAATAGATAGGAAATACACTTGAATTAGAAAAGCCTATGAAATCATTTGGCCATCTCTAAGATAGGAATAAGCAATATGGTTATCATGAATTCATACGTATCATTGACTTTTGACCATCTAATATATTACGTTTTTTTTTTTTTTGTAATTTGAGTGTGTATGTAGTTTTGGATACAATGATACATATTAGAAGTAGCCAACAAAAATAAATGAATACTACGGAATAATTTAAATCATGTTATGGAGAAAATAATTCAAAAGGAAAAAGAGAAGTGTCAATTATACCTATAAAGGTTGAAGAAGAGTGTAAGTGACAAAAAATAATGTCTAGCTCCTTGATGTTGTATTAATTAATTTGTCGAAGCAAATATTTTCAAGTAATCAAGTCATCAATCTTCGAAATCAGGTCATAGCTTACGAAGTGCATTAATAATCTTCAGTGGCACATGAATCAAATTAAACATGAAATATATTAGATATATACTCCAAAATTCTTAAATTTTTAACATGCAACATATACCATAAGCAAATTAACCTAACCAATAAATGTAATCCTCCAATTGATTTCATTGACAGTAAAGGCTTAAAAATCAAAAAGAAAAAGTTCCAAGGAAAAAAAAAAAAAAGCAAAGAAGAGAAGAAGATAGATCACATAGGTGCATGAACTCGATCAGTATGATGAAAATTGTTGATGCTTTGCATGCAAGATTATACCGAAAGAAAAAGAGTGAAGGATATGAATGCTTAGGGAAGAAGGGAGAGTTAACGTATAGGAGATTACAATAATAAAGGTGTTAAGTGAAATGCAATGTAACCTTAGACAATGAAATGGAGTTAACTAGGGAGGTTTTGATTTTAAAGGAACATTCAAAACCAAATGTATAATCATGATTGATGTTCAAGGCTTAATGCAAACAATATACCAAGTATGAAGTACTTTGTTTTTATTTTTTTATTAAGCAATTATATAATTTAATAATATTTTAGATTTTTTATTACCTATATTGTTTAGGCTTTTATTACTACTCCGTATCTATAAGTGAAAGAAAATAATTAGAATACACATAATCTTGCAATGTTATAGTTTTGGTTTTCTAAGATTGGGTGACTATCGATCTTTTTTCCAAGGATTATATAATTCGAATAAAGCTAAGAAAAAAAAAGATACCGTGTATGCTAAGAGCTCCTTTATAAAAAGGTACAAGTAATTTTTTACCATTAAAAATTACAAATCCAAAAACAGTTGAAAATAAACGCAAACAACATAAATAAATAAAGAAAATGCCAATAAACTGTGTCGAAATTCTGGAGCTCTTTCACAAATTCTGGGCAAAACCCTCCCTTAAACCCTTCAATTATATCTAAAATTTCCATCTTTTCGGCAAAATTGACGAACTTTCTAACTCAAATTCTAAATTAAAGTAGAAAAAAGAGAGGAAAATGGAGTCAATTATGAAGGATGAAGTTGGGGAAAGCTCTTCAAATTCAAGGTTATCGAGCGACAACAATGGCGATAATAAGGCAGTCGTTGTTAGGGTTAAGCGCAAGCTTGATCAATCTCCTCTTGAAGCTTTCTGTATGTTCTCTCTCCTTTTTTTTTAACTTTCTAATTTTGAATTTGCAAAATTTAATTTGACAAAGAATATGTTTTTATGATGCAATGCGATGTTAGGGCTGGAAATTAATGAGAGACCTGTAAAAAGACCGTTAATCGATTTTCAGAAGTTATCGATTTCTGATTCTTCTTCTCAAGGTTTGTTGCAATTTTGGTTTGACTGTTATAAAATTAGGTTAAATTTTGGTGATTGTTATAAAATTAGGTTAAATTTTGGTGATTGTTGTGAATTAGTTTTGTAATTGAATTCTACACTTTGTTTTCTGGGAATGATTTTCCATTGGAATAGCTTGTTTAGCTTAAACTTTGTTGAAATTGCAACTTTGGAGGTTGAGAATTTTATGAGTGTTTTGTAATTGAGTGTTACTAATAGTACTACCTGTGTCATTTCTGCTATATGATTGTGGTTGTGGCAGAGGAATTGCAGATCAAAAGGGTCCTTGTTGAACATGTCGAAACTGTTAGCAGTGCTAAAGCTAGCATTCACTTTCTGCAATCCTTTGTGGTTAGTTTTTCTATAACTTGCTGTCTCCCCCCCCCCCCCCCTCCACCCCTCCTCGAATTTGCACCTTTCGTGTTTTGTGCTCTAAATTCCTTCTTTTGGTCTGGATAAGTGTCATGTTGTTGCAACTCCTGGGTATTTAGAGTACACAATTTTAACCAAAATGCCTGTTGTAGGAAGCGAGGATATGTTGGGGCAAACAATTGAAATGACACTGTTTGTTAGATGCCCCAGAATTCTATTCACTATTGTTATTTTCGGAAGAGGTGGTGAATGATTATGCATCTCAATTTATATTTTGGACTTGTGGCATTGCCCCTGATGGACTAACATCTAATAGATCTTGCATGAAGATGCTTGGTTAAATTAGCCGTCATTATTTTAGATTAGTGTTCTCTCCTCCCAGGAGAAAATGTGATTATTTATGTAGCATCTGCTGCTTCATCTGATTCATATTCTGTTTTTCACCTTTACTTTGCTAGTAGTGGCTGTCTATATATTCCTGCTATTGTCTAACACTCAAATATGTGAATAGCTGTAACCCAATTCTCAATGATTTGTTTTCTTATCCAATTTCGCTTATGCATTTGTTCTTTATTTAGCCACCTACTCCTGATGGCGATTCCAAGTTTAAAGCTAGCACTAAAGAGAGAAGGCGCACTCTCCAGAAAGAGAATGTATGTGTGACAACCCCCCACCCCCCTCTTTTTGTTTTGGATTATTTGTATGCATTTGTAAGGAGGTTATTTTGAAAGCACTTATCTTTTTTGTGTTTTATTTTTGAATTTTGCAGAAGCATGACCAGCTATTGTCCAAAGCAAAGCAAGAACAAGAGGTAGTGTTGTTAGTGGGATTGCAAATCATGCAATTCATCAGTAGGAATCTTTAATATGTTGCACATTGGACATTACTGGTACTTTATTGTCTTTAATTTTTAATGGCATCAAGTGGGTGAGCATTTATCATGCTGCGTGTTATAGCGTCTTCACTGTCTCAATGACTACGGAAGTTGTTGGCTTTACCTGTTCTTTGAGCCACGAGAGAAGCAGTATAAATCATAATTAGCTCTACAAGCATCATAATTCATAACCCATCTGTTCTTCACCATCATCACACACTTCCTGGAGCACCTTCTAATCAATTCTTCTAAGTTCTAACAATTACTATGTATTGTATAGTGAAACATTGTACTGATTTTAGTTTGTTTCTATTCTGATAGTATATTCATAATTGAAATAGATATACTTATAACTTACATTTATTTGCCATCCATGTGATTTTGCTTCTGTTAGGAAATAGCAAGAAGTGCACGTTTTGAACAAATATGGAAGCATAGAACACACAATAAAAAGGCTATCCATGATGAGGCTTTGGATGAAGTATGTCGTGTCTATGATGTTCTTCGTGTTGACAAGACAGAGGAGACCTCTAAAATGATAAATAAACAGGAGTAAGTTTCCTAAGTTCCATTATCAATCAACAAAATATATATATATATATATATATATATATATATATATATATATATATATATATATATATATATATATATATATATATATATATATATATATATATAAAAGCTCTCTGTGCTCTTCATATAATTTCACCTGTTTAATATTGTGTAATGAAAGGATGCTAAATTCTTTGATCGTTGCAGAAAAATCTCTGTGGAAGAGCAGGAGATCCTCAGTAAATTTTTACCTCTATTAAGAGAGTGTGTTCCTGGTGCTGCTGAAGAGATCGAATCTGACATTGTTTCTTATGCTTCCAGACATGGTTTGTTTGTACATAATCTTTTGTTATGTTACAGTCCTTAAAGATTTCAAGTTGCTTTATTTGCTGTTATGTCATATGTTAGAAGATATTAGCCAGAGGGGACGGCTTTGCAATTCAGTTGTGAAGTTTTTGTTTATTTTGCTAGCTGTGTGATGGAATTTATCTTGTTAGCTGTGTGACGGAATTTATCTTGTTAGCTGTGTGACTAAGCTGGAATTTATCTTGTTATCTGTGACTAAGCTGGAATTCATCTTCTTATCTGTATGACTAAGCTAAAATTCATTACTATAATTCTTTTCTGTGAGAGTATTTTGTAGCTGTAATTCTTTTTTAGTAATCTTGGTGTAAGCTAAAAGATAAATTTATTACTATACAATTATACGTAATTACGTATGCTCTTTGCAGATTCAGCTGAGGAATACGTGTACGACCTGTATACAGTCAAGGAACATATTGATGAAACAGAGGCATCTTATCCCTTTCCTTTGTATGGAACTTTACTTATGTGCTTAATACGTCATCAATATTTGATTTCCCCTGGTTTTGCTTATGAACAATCCCTTGATCAGGGTCCAAGTTGATGATGATGATGATCACTATGATGGTCCTGATTATTCGGACTATGAAACTGATGATTCCAATGGTAATCTCTTCCATCTCTTCTAAGTCTGCCATAAATCTATTGATTACAGGGTACTGACACAAAATTTTCTCATACGGGGTGACAGCTGAGGATCATCCAGCTAACGATTATCCTGAAGAGGAGTCTTCAGACGAGGAGGAGAAGAGTTCAAAATCTGGTAGTGAGTCAGAAGAGGAAAGCGAAGCTGAGAGTGATATATGGGAAAAATCTGAGGACTCGATGGGATTTGACCGATCAGAAGATCCACTATATGAAGATGAAATGAACGAATCCCATGACAACGCTGACTCTCATGATGATGGTGATGATGAGGACTGGAGATGGGGACATCGTTGAGTTGTTGGCTTATACTACCTATTACTAACTATATATTCTCAACGTGTACTTGTAGAAGATAAATGACACGCTTATAAATTTATTACATCGATTTACTTGCGAATTGTTGATAAATTTCTAACTTAATACTCCGTACTGAAAAAAAGAAATACATTAAATGCTTATTAGCATTACCCTTTTTTTTTTAGAAAGTATCTTATTGAATTTTTACCATTTTAGTTAGACCGATACGTAGTGTAATTTAATTACTCTGTACAACTTTTATACCGAAATACTAAATACTCAAGTCGAAATTAAAAAAAAATTATCATTACAAGATGAATAAATTAGCTCACATAAAAATCTCACATGAAAAAATCTCACCTCCCCAATTTGTATTGAATTGAACCCTATAAAAGTCTCTCCCTTTCCACCTTCTCACAATTTTCTCTCTCTTACACAACTCATCATCTCATCCTTCTTACTTAACTTTCTCTCTCTTTCATTACATGGGCTATGGGCTTCTCTAATGCCACCTTAGACACCAACAATCACAACAACAACAACAACAACCACAACAACCGTTACAATTTGGGAACCGGGTCGGGTATTCCCAAATTCAAGTCGTCACCACCTCCTTCGATTCGTATCTCACCTCCTCCCATTTCACCTTCTTCTTACTTTGCTATTCCTCCTGGTTTGAGTCCTACTGATCTCCTAGACTCCCCTGTTCTTCTCTCTTCTTCTAATGTAAGTTTTTTTTTTTTTTTTTTTTTTGCCAAATAAATAATTTGATAATTTAAACAAAAACCCATTAATAATTTTAAGATTAAATATGAAATAGATGATTAATTATTGTTTGGGGTTTGTTAAATTTTGCAGGTGTTACCATCTCCAACAACTGGCGCTTTTGCTGCCAACTGGAAATCTTATTGCAGCAACGTTAACAACAACACCAACAACAACAAACAGGAAGATGTCTAATTTTAAGATTAAATATGAAATAGATGATTAATTATTGTTTGGGCTTATACTACCTATTACTAGCTATATATTCTCAACGTGTAGTTGTAGAAGATGAATGACACGCTTGTAAATTTGGTGTGTATTTTGCTATATGCTTAAAGTGTCGGAAAACGGGTGGTTGTTGCCGGTTGGTAATGTGTGAACAATTTTGACAACATTGTGGCTAATTGTTTAGGACTTTCCATGAATGAAGTTAACTACTCCGATCTTATTATCAAATTTGTTTGTACCAAACCTTACTTTACAATAAGATAAAATATTCTATTTAGTATACCTTAGTAAAATTGGAGTTTGACAGTGATTTTTTTTTTTTTTTTTTTTAAAGGATAATAAGAATACGTATAAAAAACGCTAGTTGAAGGAAAAAGGCAGATTCTATTTTCCACAATTCAACCTGGGCGATGATGATGATATGAGCAAAAAAAAAAAAAATGTCAAACCTTTGGATTTTAATTTTTTGATTAAAATTAAAAATCTGTAGGATGACTAATTCGAGTTTGAGTTCAGAGGAGAGAGAAAATGAAGAGACAGTAGTCGAAGTTCATCAAGGAATTCCACAAATACCCATAGATCTATTCGTCAAGAAAAATCGAAAAGGCGTACGATTTTTCGACGCTTTTGGTAATCTACGCTACAAAGTTGCCGACGCTTCTCCACTTTCACCGAGGCAAAACCATGGTTTACGTGGGCGTGTCTTATTGGATTCTTCCGGCAATCCTCTCGTCTCTATTTTCCGCTTTCATGTCAGTTTTTCTCTCCTCCTTTCTTTGGATTTTTGTGTTTTAATCGATTGTTGTACTTTGATATCTGGGTTTAATTCTGTTCCTGCAATTGGTGTCAAATAGTTGATGATTCAATCATTGGTTTCACAACCACCTCCAAAACTTTAACCTACTAAATTAGTTGCCCATATAATAATATCACATTCAAGAATAATTAGTTTTGGTTTTCCTAGGCTTGGTTAGGAAAATTAGTTCACAAAATCCAGGTATCAGAATCATTAGTTTACAAGAGAGGGTAATTCTGCAATGTGTTATGATTACAAGACTATTGATTTGGTGACAGTTAAATTCTGCAACAATTTGGCGCGCAGTGTTTGGTAGCTGATGTTGCTGACTATGAATAAGCAGTAATTAATTTATGGTTTATGAATGTAGGATGGGTCATGGAAAGGCTTCAAGGGCAATAGTTGTGAGGAATTGATTTTCAAGGCGGAACAGACACTCAATACATTCAATAAAGTAGAATTCAGTGTAAATGTTGCTGGAGATGATGGCACAAACTTAACTTTCGCGATCAGAGGTTGCGTTTTCTGGAGAACTTGCACCATTTATCAGGACAAATTCATAGTAGCTCAGGTATGGTACTCGACGCTAGCATGAACAGCCCGTCCACAACCCTGGCTAATGTGCATGTTTATCTTTCTGTCATCAAATTGCTTATTTTACCATCGTTTCTTGTGAGTATGACTTGAGTTTTCATTGGATGCAGACAAATCTCATGTACAAGCTTGGTTTTAGGAAGCATTTCGTGGGGAGGAGTAAATTCAGAGTAACTATTATTCCTGGATATAGCGATTATAACTTCATTGCTTCATTGATTTTAGTATTTTTGGATGGACGAAAACAATGATTTTCATTTTTTTGGCAAGTTGATGAAGAAATTTGTAAATTGTGATTACATTAGTTTGTACCTTGGTAGAAACCCTTCGCAAATATTGTTGCTACTCATTGTGGCATGCAAAGCATCCCATTCAATTGAAACAATTTAAAATCTTTTTCTCCATCTCAGTGCTACCCGGCTATTGTTTTCAGACTGATGTATATTATGTATCTGTGCAACTGATACGAAGTAATTCCTAGAGTCGATTCAATCTGTTGTGATCCTGTAACTTAATGGAGAAGGCAAATAGGATACCAAAATATAGGGCAGGTGCAGGATTAAAAAATAAAAAAATAAAAAAAAAACCTGCACTGTAATGATTGGCGAGATTTCCAAACAACTAACCGAAAACCATTTCTATCATCAATTGCACAGTGTTTACAAAACCTAAGTGCCTTGAAAGTAAGGCCAGTGGAGTTCTCCATCTTTCTTCAAAATCCCCAAAAGAAAGGTGGGGAGACATAAATAAAGTTACTATGAGGGGAGGACTAACCAAAAAAGAATCTGCTATTACTCCATGGTGTTTACAAGGAAACAACAGGACCTTATTCCTGGTGCTAGCAATCAAAATTGCAAGGTACGCAGTATAATGTCAGTTTGGATTTTTAGCTGAATAGCTGAGCCGAGGACAGGATTGTACATCATTCACCACATTAAGGGTGATAGCCATCTCATCTCTAATCCATTTCCATTTGAAAGATAATACATCTTCTTCCACTTCTCTTCAGTGAACACTTCTCGACGGATAAGCCTTTGCCTACATTTACAAAATTGTTAAAGCTCTAGATAAAAAACCATTATGCTCTTCACAATCAGCCATGAGAACAATCAAAACAAATTACAGTATAAAACAAATGATAAATAGTTAACGAAACCAGCATAGGCACCAATAAAAGAACCAGTGGAAATATCAGCGAGGGGAGCTAGTTACAATAGACACATTTTAATAGAATGACAGCAGCAATTCATAAACCTCGACATCCTGCATATAGGCAGAACAATAATGACGCATGTTCTCCATGCCAAAGTGAGGCAACCAATCACATGACCTGGGAGTCTGGAACAAATATAATCCATCCTACGAAGTACCAACTTCTTCTCCCAGTTCATATCAAAATTTACTTTCAGTATGCACATTTGCAGAGGGGTTGAAGTCCATCAAACCACAAAAGAAGAAAAGATGCAAAATTACCAAGGATAAACTACATCGTTAACACCATAAATCTTTAAATTCATATTATTGATGATTGGAGACAGTGCAATATGATCAGCAAAGTTACATTATGTAGCAATAATCTGAAGCCATACCTAAGGTAATAATGGCAAACAGCTGCAGCTTCATCCAGAGAGTACCGAGGGAAATCAATACGAGCATTATCTGGTACACCAGGCAAGTCTTTACGCAACTTCCCCACTGCTGTAGAATGTGAGAATGCACCAACCATCATGTCATCATGTGTCATAGGCCTGAATGCATTTACCTGCACACATAGGATTCAACGATGAACTAACACATCAAGAAAGCTTCTAAATATACAATGTTACCAAAAGTTACAGTACAATTATAAGAAATTATTGTGAGAGCCACTTCAAACATGCATATTATAGCTTAAGAGTGTGTGTGTGTGTGTGTGTGAGAGAGAGAGAGAGAGAGAGAGAGAGAGTTCTCACCATTGCAAGTTCTTTAGCATGAATTGGTCTGGAAGAACGGGGTGTAACCACCTCTTCAAATTCACTAAAAGTAAACCAATTGTTGTACTGCAAAAGCCAGCAAAATAAGCAGAATTTATAAGCTTAGATGAAGCCAAAAATGTATCCATATTTAAGTTGATAGGAAGTTAATCAAGAGTTGGCATAGAGATAACTTAAGTTGATGCACTATAAACTCACTTGGTCAATTGCAAGAAGCACCGGAACATCTTTCACCAGCGATAACTCCTTCCGTAAACGGACTAGCACTCCAACAGCAGCATGTGTATGAGCGATTCCAGTCTGGATTAGATCAAATAAAGTTGAACCATCTGGCATGGCCATGGAATCTGCTCCCTTCATAAATCCCACACCAGCACCTTCTCCCAAAGGAATAGGTTCAGATATATGACAAGGGAGTTGACGTAAGCAGGTTTCATTAAATTTGAGGAAGTCCTATAGAGCAAGTAAGAGGAATGAAACATTGGTATATATGCAACTTCTGTCAAGTTTATAAGTCAATATTATAAAGAAATAATGGAACAGACCATGCATCAACTTAATAATCACATTGTGAGTTGAAAAGGAACCAAAGATGGAAACTTATTTTTTGTGAAGTAGAGAATATTTCTGTGTTACTGTTCAAATGTCAAATTTGAATAATACTTTGTTTTCGGTAAGATTGCACACACTTTACTAACTTCACAGCCCTGAGAAGGAGCCTCTAGAGACATTAAGGTAATGTTGAAGTAGTTGGTGATGATGTAATAAATAATAAAGTGCCAGATATTTAATTAACATCCTCTCAACCTTGGAGACATCTTATTGATTTAGTCAACTTGATACAACCTCACTGTGATCACAAGAGTTAAAGACAGAGATTGGAACTTGCCTTCAGAATATTTTCAGCCTGAACAGGGGAATCCCAAAGACCAGTTTGTGGATTTTTATAGAAAAATCCACCATGAGTCCAATCACGACCTTTGGGGGAATAAAAGACCAGCCAACCTTCATCACGAGCCCAATGAGCAAGCATTGCAAGTGCAATACTTTTACCACAGCTACGAGGACCATCCAAGACAATCTGTTTTCTAGGTTTTGGTGCTGAAAATATTTACACAATCCATGTGCAACGCTTGAGTTAGGAATTCAGAACGCAAACCATACATGAACAATTCCACACATATCATTAATGGTAGAAAGGAACATCGTATTACTTTACTAGTTTCTTCCAAAACAACAAAGATAAACTTCCTACCCCCTTTCTTCACCAATTATGGTTGGCTACACAGATGATTTTTCAAAGTTCTCATAAACTGTAAGAGATCAAATTAGTTAAGCTCATACGCTGCTAGTAGTCCAAGAAAGCCTAAATAATTCATTAACTAACCAATTTTGATAAAGAATTGACAAGGCAATGACCATGTCAATCAAATAAACTATATGATGTGAAGAATCATCGGCGTAGTGAACTTTCCGTGAAACATGTTCATTAGTAGAATAATATCAAACTCCTCAGTTTCAGCTCACAGCAATCAGGTAGAACTCACAAAGTCGAATATTATGACAAAAAACAAAGGCAATGTGACAATTAAATGATTACAAACACACAATGGCTCCACACATAGTTTGGGACATCAGAAATACAGCAAAAGCAATACAATATCAAGTCTCATTCTTACAGCATTTGCTAGAATTAGAATATCTTCATATGCTCAACTACCTATAAAATTCCATTATTGAGATAGATAATATGTATTCGACAAGTTCACAATTGCTTGATCAGTCCCAAAACACACAAAATTCACTCTAACATAACTCAGTGTTCATAATTACAGCATAGAAAATTGAAATAGCAGCAAAATTGCATTTAAAAAATCAACACAATAAGTTATAATTTCAGGGTTTAGGGTTTTAGGAATAAAGTTGAGTACCTGTAGCAGAAGAAGACCAAGTAGGAGGATCGACAATCCGCCTAAAATTATCGCGAAGATCCAAAAAACTCTGCCTAACAAGCAAAGCGCATCGTTTTGTATCCTCAAACTCCTTCAACATCCCACTCGGCAATCCCTCCGGCAACGCCGCATTCAAATCCTCAATCCTTCAAATTCAACCCACAAAATCAAAATCAAATTCAAACTCAAATTCTCATCAATTTCAATTCAAATAAAAACAAGAAGAAAAACAAAAACCTGAATTTCATGTAAGAGCAAGTATCTTTCCGAGAGAGTTGAGAAAGAGAAGAAGTGGAAGTGAAGAGAGGGAGACCATTGGGGCCCACATCAAGGGACCTATCCTTGTCATCCTCAGCCAACAACCTTAACCGAAGCTGTTCCCCTTCCACGTCAGCATCGAGCTCAGCCGAGGAACTTCCGCCGACATCATCGGATTTTCCGTCGCCTTTGAACTTCTTCTTTGCTTTAGCGAGTGTAGATTTCGAGGGTTTTGCCGAGAAATGTCGGGAAAAGTCGGTGGTGTTGGTTGATAATGCGGCGGTGATTGGAGTTAGAGAGGATGAATTGCGGTGGCGCGTGGATGTTACAGCGGTGGTTAGAAATCGCCGCCACATTTGGCCGTCGGGAGTTTGGATGTCTGCTTTTGAAATGGGGTTCAAGAAATGAGTTCCTAAACTACGAAGAGGAGGTGCAGTGGTTGAGCTCCATTTGTTGGGCCTAAATTATTGGGCTGATAACTAAACAATTGGGCCTTCAATGACATTGCTAAAGTAGACATTATAAACTCACCCATCGTAATGGACATTAATCCACCACCATGGTCCATGTTCTATGAGGATAAAATTGATTGGGTATGGGAGGAATTTAATATGAGTAACGTCTAATTAGCCGGATAACCAGATTGGTATAAAAAGAACGCATCTGTGATCAGTTTGGTATATATATATATATATATGAATAATTAAGGAATAACTACATCCGTGATCCGTTTATTAATTACGATTTGTACTTTCATTGTTTTTTGGGTTGAAAGAATGCATTAAAAGACCTGCTAAGTATAAGCCTATATATCTAAATGGGAATTCACAAAATATAGTGTCAATTATTCGTTATCCATAATTATTTTGGTTTCATCTAGTCAAGATATTATGATTGTTATGAGTTATCCATGCAGGTATAGAGGATAGATAATATCTTAGTGATTGTAATGGTTATGATAATGAGGAAAGTTCATAACATTGTGACTTTTGTATTATTCTTATTGTTTCAATTTAACTATACTTTTTTTTTCCTAACATGTTAAAAAAAATGTTAGTACACATAAAATGAAGACCAACTTCGGTCCACTTGTTAAAGTTAAACAATTTAGTGTTATTGACCAAAATACTTTGGATTGAAGACCGGAATCTTTAAAGAATGTGAACCAAAAAATATACACTTAAATTGTTTGGAAATTGTAAGTTAGTTGTAGCAAAATTTAATACCCCAAAGGCCAAAGTGGTTTGGTCAAATTCTTTATTTCCACTAATAAGAACATATACAGTTATACTATCCACGTACAATGCACCTTCATAGTACATAGTCATTATTATTGACGACTACTTAGCAACCAAAAATCCAAAATGCAGGAACTTCTAAATAATGCAATCTTATCTACTGTAGGCAGCCTAATAACCACACTAGCTAGCTAGTATACTTAAATTGTATTGTCAACTAGTCAAGTAAGTCAACTAACATATTAAGTCATTCAAAATAAATAATACAAAGTACTTATTTAGATAGATTACAAAAAATTAAAAAAAAAAAAAAAAAAACTAATAATCCCATAAAATCGATTAAATTAAATTGTGAGTATATTTTAATCTGATGACTCCACCTTGATCTGCTAATTAGATTATAATGAGATTATATGCTTTACATTTATGTTTGTGTGATGGAAGTCAAAAGAGTCCACATGTATATGGAGTCCAACCTAATTTGCTCATGTATGATGGTTTACTTTGTCTCTTCATATTTTGTTGGAAGTCTTTATAAAGATAAGTTTCTAACTTCACTTATATTTTAATCTATATGCTATGACTAAGTTTGTTAAAGATAAATATATTTCTCAGTCATATTTTTTATCTCTTTATAACTACTATTTAATTTTTCAGATTATTTTTGAATAATTATATCTTGTGCTACCTAACCTAGTTTCAAGGATATTGTTAGCTTTATTGTTGCGAAGGATAAGGCTGATGTTTTATTCAAAGGATGAACGCTGAAACAGAATAAATCAGCTATCAACGTTTAAATTTCAAAAGGGCCGAAATTTCTGTTGAAGCAAGATTCAGGGATTTTTGTTGAAGACTTTCAAACGTTTTGAAACTGCTCTACATCGTTTGAAATCAATCCTAAAGCCTTATAAATAGCGTGAAGACTTGCTGGAAAAAAATCAACCGAAATATTCAGAACAAGAACACTCAAGAATTATCAAGCTTTATACACTATAGCAAGAGTGTTAAATATTTTCTCTCTAAGTTCTTTAATACCTTATTGTGTGATTAGATTGAGAGAAAAAAAAAGTGTATCTAAGAGTGGAAAAAGAATATATCAAAAGAGTGATATACTTAGAGTAAATTTATAATACTCAAAGTATAGTAAAAGTGAGATAGTCTTTTATTTCTGGGAATTGAGTTGCTAAAGTGTAACCGGGTGGTTGCGAAGAGAAGAGAGGTTATCTTCTAGGTGCTTTAGGACTTTAAGGGAAGAAATAAAAGTGGTTAAAATCCTACGGGTTGGACAACCCTAAGCGGAGACGTAGGACTTTGTGCTAAACTTCGTAACAATTTTTTGTGTCTTTATTATTCATTCTTGTATTTACTTTTACGCTGCTATAACTTATCACTAGCTGATCCAACCGAACGTTTCTAACATTCTAATTAGCAATCGTTTTACTTTATAAACAGTTTTCAAAGTCTTGAATTTAAAACTGAGATTAGTTTATTCCGCCTTGAAACTAATCTCAAGACCTTGACATTTTGTGTTTTGCGAAAATTGCCCATACTCTATTCAACCCCCCTTTCTAGAGTATTATTATGTTTATTCCATCACCATTGTGATCCTTTCATAATCCATTGTTGCAAAAAGTACAAATAATGTCCATCATGTACAATTGTAAAAAGCATGGAATCTAAGGTAAATTTGAAGATTGAAAGTCTAGTAATAATACAATTAAGACTGACAGTAAGAACAAAATGAACAATGTTTGTGAAATATGTTTGTGAAATTAGTAGATTATGTGTAATACGGTGTTTGGAAATTAATTAGTAGATCTCAATTAGCGTTTTTTAATGTATGAAAAGACAATGAATAAAAAGACATAATAGAAGCATATTATATGATTATGTACTCTATATATTTCTCAAAAAAATAAAATAAAATAAATAAATATTACTCTATATATCCTTAAATCATTTTAGGTGGAATCAAATCAATGATCAAGATTGCAACAAAAAAAAACTCATACTCATTACACTATAAATCTTTAAATCATTTTAGGTGGAATCAAATCAATGATCAAGATTGCAACATAAACAAATTCATACTTGTTTAATTAAGAAAAGAAAATAATCCCTTGGATTAGCACAGTACTTAGCAGGTAAGCCAAACAGTATATGCTAATTAAATTCTAAAGTACGTCCTACTATTAGAAGATAGTTTAATTAGCAAATCGTATTGTTCGATTCTTTCTCATCATTACACCATATAACTAATTTAACCGATAATAAATTAATAATGTAGTATCTACCCAGATTTGAGGCCTATATACTGTATCTTCTAGCTGATATCAAAAGATACATACAAATTTAATAAATGATCCAAAAAACTGTATAAATGTCTTATTTTCATAGATATTTGAATAATGCATATGTTGACCTTATAATAAGCTTTAGGGGTAATATAAGGAGCTAGGTGAAGTGGTTATTAGCTAATTAGTGCTTAGTGGTCCTGTGTCGCTTAATCAGGTTGTTGATGAAGTATTAGTTATGTAATTTAGTTTCTAATTTCTAGGTAATATGACATCAATTGTCGTGAATGGACCGACGTGAGGAGCAAACATTATAGTAATAAAGTACGTCTTGCTCTTAAAATAAGTATAGTTGCATCAATCACAAGTCTTATTGTTTATTCCAAGTTTTTGAGGACATTAAAACTTTATTGTATGTAATTCATAAGAGATTTGGAGAATTGACGAAATTTTATAATAGATGTACGTGTATTATTGTACGTACAATAATTTTCAATAATGTAAACAAGTCACTCGGATTATATATATGCAGAGTAAACTTTAACTTATATAATAACTATAGTCAGTAACTTATATAGTAACACCATTTTGTATCGGAGTAACTATTTTAAACCCAAATTGCATACAGAGTAAATTTCAACTTAATTATACGTACGAGACAGGCCGGTGGTAAAGGTGAAGCCAAACAAGAGGTGAAAGTCAACTTTAATGCATTAGTAATGCACAACTCGTATGAATATATGAATATATGATGTTGTGGAGTTGTGGACAGCTACATGTTCGTGAGTATCGTGAATCATCACACTATGCTGTCTATAAGTACAGTTGTATCCAGCATGAACTCATCAAGTGGAATACCGTATTACACTAATACCTATAATAGTAATAGTATTGTCATTAGCATTCGTACGTCTAAATAAATGTCAGGTTGAAATATTCTAATTGTACAATTTTTGCCCTATTAGGTATATTTACAGATTTCCTAACCCTACTAGATCGGATTTACCTTTATTTTAATGTCTTAGCTAGTTGACTTTTAGTGTTCTTATAATGAAAAAGAAGAAAATAAAAGGTTGAAATATATATATATATATATATATATATATATATATATATATATATATATATATATATATATATATATATATATATATATATATATAATCCTTTAATTGGATATATGTGAATGAATGTCAAGATATAGAATACTCCCTCAGTGCTCGATTTGTCCTATAACACTTTTGGTCAAGATCAATTTTATTTATTTTTAAACGAAAGCGTAAAGGTATTAAGAGAAGAAAAAAAAGTGTGTAGGGTGAGATTTAACTTAATTTAGAGGAAGTTTACAATATAAATAAAATTAATTTTCTGAATTGCGACCGCCTCTTTTTGTAATTTGTAATGTCGTTGACTATAAGTATTCTTACAATGAAAAAGAATTGGAAAATAAAATGTTGGAATTATCCTTTAATTGGATAGGTAAATGATATTCATCAAATACAAATACACAATACTTCAGATTCTTTGTGCTGGATCCTCCTTGACAATTCTCATCAAAATTTTACATATTTCTAATGAAAATGAAGAGGTACGGAGGGGAAAAAAAAAGTGTGCATGGTAAAATTGACTTAATTAGAAGAACAATAGATCGAAAAAAGATAGGAAAAAAAAATGTGATTATAATGATAATATGTAGGCATCCTAATACGAGTATATCGTAATAGTGAAAATTTAATTTATGGATGTACAAATATTTTTTTAATTCACAATCAAGTTGTGGGCAGGCAAATGTTACGTTGGAGTATTGAGCTATGGAATAATTAATAGCTAAGCATCTTTTCAAATGCTTGTCATGTCCAAAATTCAAACATACTCTCTCTCTCTCTCTTTTTTTTTTTTAAAGTCAAACCTACTTAGCTTGCATAATGCATTTATGAGATTGATTTACTATGTACGGAGGTTTTTTTTTTTTCCTTTGTGATTTTACTAGTACTCTTTGGAAAAAGAAAAAAAAAAGATTTGTCGAGAAAATTGAATTTTCAACCATTGGGGTTGGTGTCTTTGATGATTCAAATTGAAAGTTGACCAATGTTCTTAATATACTTTAAATATTTAAATACAAAGTACTTTTTATCTAATTGGAATACTTTCTTTTATGAATGTCAGTGTTATTACAAAATAGTATGTATTATGTAGTATAAATGTAATTGTCAAATTTAAAAGAATATAAGAGTTAAGAACACAAACATATTTGGTACAACACACCAAGTTTTTAATAAATAGATTGTGACAACTTTACACTAAATTAACGTGTAAACATTGTATCCACACTATAAAAATTTAGATTTTTTTTTTTTTTTCAATTTTGAATTTAAGGAAGAAAAACTACGAAAAGAAGAAAAAAAATGGTGGTATTGGTCACAAGCCAACACAGTTTTTGGAGGTAGTAAATCCACCATCAACAACAAGATTATGACCACTAACATACCTAGACTCATCGCTTGCAAGATAAAGTGCAGCCTCGGCTATGTCTTTGGCTTTCAAAGTAGCGCCTTTAAGTGTTGCTAATCCTCTCACAAACTCCTCCGTTTTCTCAACTTCTTTCTCACATGGCAACCCCAACTCCATCTCATCATCTTCGTCTTCGTCGTCACTTCTCCAAGCATTGATAAGCATAGAAGTGGCAACTCCAAAGGGTGATATACAATTAACTCGAATCCCGAACCGGCCCAACTCACACGCCGTGTTCTTTGTTAGCCCCACGATGGCATGTTTTGACGCTGTGTAGGCGTGGGGGCCCATACCGCCCATGAAGCCCGCCACGCTCGAGGTTGAGATAATGCAACCACCACCCCGTGGCATCATAACACGGGCAGCGTGTTTGATCCCTAAGGCCATACCCTTAACGTTGACCGACATGATGCGGTCAAACTCATCAGGGTCAAAATTGAGTATGCTTTTATTAGACTTTGTTTGTGACCCTAACACACCAGCGTTATTAAAGAGTATGTCTAGTCTGCCAAACTGTGACACGGCCGTGTCTACCATGTTGCAAACGTCGTCTTCGTTGCTGACGTCGCAGTGGACGAAGGTGGTGGAAGGAGCAAGAGAATCTGCCAATGCTTTACCTAGTGCATCTTCTACGTCCGCAATTACCACCTTAGCGCCGTGCTTTACAAATTGTTTAACCGTTGCTTCTCCTATTCCTCTTGCTCCACCCGTTACTATTGCAACTTTTCCCTCCAACCTACACAAACAAAATACAAGTATATTCTAATTAAGTAGGTGTACAAAAATAAAATAAAATAAAATAACATGCATTCATACTCCACTGCCACTGGCTATTACATACTACACAATAGTCCCTCCCAGTCTCCGACCACGTCCGTAATATATATATATATATTAATCCGTAATATTCTTCGTATAACTAAAGTTTTTGACACGCATATTTGACTGTCAAAACTTTAGTTATACGAAGTACGTACATTTTATTAAAAAAATTGATGTTTTGAAAATTTGTTTGTGAAGATGTATATAGCAATATTGCATTTGACAATAATGTTTGGCTAAGAAAATAAAAAATGATTTTATTAGACTTTTATTTTTGGTCTAGAGGGGACATTATTAGACTTATTTCAGTATTTTTTTTTTTATTATATATTTCAATATGTAGGTATTTTTGACATACGATGGAATACAACCAAAAAATGATGATGGATATAGATATGTCTAGATAATTAATCTTATTAAATAATATAGTACGAGTAACTGAAAAAATGATGGGAACCTGTAGATAATCTTATTAATTAATAGGAAGACAGGAAGTACATAACTGAAAAAATGATTGATGAAGATTGGTTTTGAAAACGGATGAAAATGAAAATTACTTAGAAACAATTTTATACATAGAAAATGCTTTAGTATTGAAAATTTTATATTTGTCAAAATAAAAGTGGTAGAATTATGGCCGGCTTTAGATTTGGAACATAGTAGAAAAGGAAAATTTGAGTATTATTAGTGTTGGTCAAACAATGTATAATAAGATCCACCGCTAACTAAAACAAAGTGTGAATTGAAGAAAGAAAAATACACAAATCTAACAAATTTTTTTAAGAAATTAAAACAAACACATTATACTTCCTCCGTTTCTCATCTTAGGTAAAACAAATACAAAGAAGTAATTAAAGAACAAATCAAGATAGAGGGAGTAATAATTAATAAAAAAAAAACGATAAATAAATATACCTTCGGAACGAGATAGAAGGGGCGTTATTATTATCTTTGCCCATAAGAAGAAATTTTTGATGAGTATTGGTTTCAGATATGACAGCAGCAGCAGGCATAATTTGAGTAGGAAGAATATAATTTGAGAAGAAGAAAATTAAAGGAAGAAGTTTAATTAGTAAAAGGGGGTTTGGTTTGGTTGGAGAAGTGGAACAGTGGGGACTAATAAGCAAAGTGAGATGAGCAGTGAAGTGAGGGAATTGAGAATGGTGGTGTGTTTTTATAATACTCTAACCAGCTTGGTCAAAATGTACAACCTGGCTTCCAAGGAACCTTCCCTTGTATTTTTATGCTATCTTCACCTTCTCGACCTATTATTCCCACTTTTGAGGATCTTCTCTTTCTCTTCTTTTTTTAAATTTCTGCCTTTCAATGGGAGTTGTACAACTACTCCCTTTGGTGTTTTCAGTTCATAGCTTTGACCGTACCGTCGTAGATTTTTACAAGGTTGAATTAAATGGAGCATAACATTGTGTAATTGGAGTGTGTCTCGATAGTTAAATTAAACAAGAAGTGAAACAAATATGTAAGATATTGTTAAGAGATGGGCATGGGCTGATACAACACGAGGGACTATGAGGCACGACACAAAATTGACTGGCATGAACATCATTTTTTCAAAAAAAAAAAAACAATTTTTTTTTTGGTGTTTAGAGAGCCACAAGGGTGAGTGATGAGAATCAATCCTAGGATCTCTTAGAATCGAGAGAGAAGCTATAACTCAGTCTCTCAAAAAAAGCAAATTTACGTCCATTGTTTTGTTTGCAAAGCAAGTATAAAAGCAATACTCCGTACAATAATACATGAATACCCCTATGGTTACCATATACATTTGGGAGAGCATGTGTCCTAATTGTTAGAGGTACATAATTTTTAGCATTTTAATTTAGTATCATCACGTCATTCATGGTCCCAACCAATAATAAAATTACTCCCAAAATTATGCTTATTCATTAATATATGATATGGTTTCCTAAACTCTTATCATCGTTACATTAAAAAGTTGTCTTATACGAAATACATATTACAAATGACATAGTGATCTTGGACGACTTAATTAATCGGGCTAGGTTGGTCATCTCTAACAAATATTTTGACACCATGCACTTGGGCTACTGATACTGAGCATACAAGTTATACAACCCATGTTGCGGTATTGCCATATGGTCGTTAATTCGTTATGGTCTTATACTCTCATCGAATTTCTTTGCAGGAATAAAAAAAAAAACAAGACCAAAAACAAAAAAATCGAACCAAAAGCCGTAGTCGAACAAGGGGGTTTTACCGCCTTGCTGAGTGTTTCTCTCTCCTCAACTCTGCATTCGACTGTTTAGGGCTTCGCAATTTTCTCCTTCTTCCCCCCGTTTTTTTTTTCTCTGAATCAAATCAATTCGATTAACATATTTTACGAAAATGATGTTATCCGGCGATATACCTCCTAATCAATCTATTTACGTTAAAAATCTCAATGAGAAGGTCAAGAAAGAAGGTAAACCCTAATTTTTTCACTCATTTTTAGCTTGTAATTTCTTCAATTTGCATCAATTTCATGCTTATGCTCTTTCTTATACTTGATTATCTTCAATTTTAGCTTCTCAGATTTCAGAAATATAAATGTCCTTTGATTTTAGGGTATAAATTAGGTTATCATGAATTTTGGGATTTCTAATTTTTGATGCAATGGCTGTTTTGTGATTGGTGACTTAGTTGGCAACTTTAAATCTCCCCAATTATTGTGAAATTGAACCAATTTACTTGGTAATTGAGAAATTTTAAGTGTTAATAGCTGTTGCTGTTGCCTCTTATTATGGGTGTGTAATTGTTGGGTTTGTATTTAGTTTTAGTTTCTGATTCAAGTATTTGAGCTAGTGAGAATTTCTTATGAATTTACCAGAATTGAAGCGGTCGCTTTACTGTTTATTCTCTCAATTTGGGAGGATCCTGGATGTTGTAGCTTTGAAGACACCTAAACTTCGAGGTCAAGCTTGGATTTGTTTTAGTGAGATTACAGCAGCGAGTAATGCTGTTCGGCAAATGCAGAATTTCCCTTTCTATGATAAACCTATCGTAAGTACATCCATTTCTAGCTGTCTTTCAATAGTTGTGTATTTAGTTGGTAAAATATGAAGGTGAGGGGTGAGGAGAAGAAGGAAGTATGGAAATGGTCAAATGGGTTTGATAGAGATATGGGGTCTATAAAAGATGGCACACTGCAATCAACTGAAATTGGTATGAGACCCTGCATTCTGCTGTCTGATTTGTACTGGTGGGCTCAGTAAATGTAATACAGTCAGAGTCTTACACTAGTATGTGTGAATAGGAATGCATATAGCTCCATAGGTCCAACATTTGTTTTACAAATACTTCCTCCATTCCGTTATAAATGCACCATTTGAGTTTCACGCTTACGAATACACAAGTTTAAAATTTAAAGTAATAATAAGGATATATTGGAAGTGAAAATATAGGCGAATCTAACAAGATCTCACAAAACTATAATTTCTTACATAGTTACATAAATTTCACAAAAGATGATGTGGATTTAAGCTCTTTTAAGTTAATAAAGAATCTAAAATCACACAAGTAACACAATCCTTCCAAATTCCTTAAGAAAATCAAAAAATTTAAGGACAACGAACCGAATATGACTTTAAAAACAACCACTCCTGGAACAAATTCAACGCCTACTCAAACTACTTAAACCACTCCTGGAACTAAGTATTTTGATGAACAAAACTTAGACTACTCCTAGAACTAAGAATTGAACGTTCTAATTATCAAAACAACTCTTTGAATTGAAAACTAGCAAAGCAAAGTTTAAGCAAAGCTAAACCAAAGCAAAGTTTAATCTGAATTTTTCATGTCCCTAAAAGCCATGAAAATACCCTATTTATAGACCAAAACTAACTAATTCTACTCCTACAAGGATTAGGACAAACCCCTAACCTTGTTCTCCAAGCATCCTAACTAGAATAGAATTACTACTTCTAATTAGAATAGGAAAATTAATCCTAAACAAACTCTAATTAACTAAAAACTTTCCTAACAACCTTAGGAAGTTTATAGCAACTAAATAACAAAAATTAAAACTTATCCTAAGTGCTTAAACCAAGAAACTCTTTTAAGTGAAAGTTAAAAACTTGCAAGCCAAACTCTAGAAAAAACTAAGTAAAATCAGAAATCATCCATTTCATTCCGGAGCTTTCACGACTCACACGCGCTGGCCCACGTCGTAGATGGACTCAAGGTGGTTGCAAGGAGGTGGCGCGTGGCCCTTGGAGTGGCGCGTGGCAATCGCAATCGCAATCGCCATCGGAAGCCGAATGTGTCATTTCTTCTTCCTTGGTGATCAAGCTTCCTTTTTTCCCAATTGATCTATTGAACCTTTCCTTGTTTATTTCCTTGCTTGGCAGCCTATAATGGAGTTCTTTAGACCTTCTAAAAGTGTATTAGATCCTTCAAAAGAATTAGCCTCTTGATTCACATCAAAAGATGGTTGAGAGGGAATGTGTGGACAGTGTACAAGTCCAAATAGTGCAATTTTTCAAGAATGGAGTAAGTAGAACATGAATCTCGTTAGTATTTGTTTGCTGTGAAGTTGGGGTTTGGTGTTTTACAAAGTATGCGCAGATAGTTACATCCTTGAGTGATGTTAACTTCCTACTTCCTCTATCTCATTGCTGAATATAAGTTTGTGATTTGATGGGAATATTGGTGAGAGTTAACATCAAATTTGAGAATCCAACTTTTAAAGAGGTTGCCACTAATGAACTTTTGACTACTCAACATGAACAATGGAACCAAATGTTGTTGAAAATGACTACAATATGAAGGGAGTATCGATCATTTTGAGATAGAGACATTTCTTCTTTAAAATGCAAGCTAACTACAGTTTATTGTTCTTTGGAAAACTTAATTTTAGATACTGGAAACTTTGATTCACCATCCCTATGATGTGTAATGTTGGCTTGGCACTCCAAGAAGTTTGATTTACTTAAGAGTCTTATTTCTGATACCCTGCAAGACACATGAATATAGTTACATATGCTAGTGTGTTTAACATTGTTTTGTACTTCTTGATGACTTCTTCCAGCGGATACAATACGCTAAATCCAAGTCAGATTGTATTGCGAAAGAAGAGGGAACTTATGTTCCTAAGGAAAAGAAGAAGAAACAAGAGGAGAAGGGTAAAAACCCTGTTCTATTCTTTGACTATTGTATTATCATATTACCAAAATTTTGTCATATGTGGTTATCAATTTTTGAGTAGTGGCTGTTTAGGACGCCATACTTACTTAATTCTTTGGTACATCTAGTATGTAATTACTGAGTGGCTTGAAAATCACTATGAGCAGGCAGGGAGGTTTATGTAATTTTGTCTGGCTCACCCACACCCACACCCAAACCCCAAAAACGCCAAAATATAAATAGAGAGGGAGAAAAGGGTCCAATTGGTCGCTACCTAGATCATGCATGCATTAGCTGTCCTTAGAGAATGTATTTGTAACCCCAATCTTTAGGATTGCAATGTGATCTTTTTCAATCATACATGTTCTTTTAGGGCTGTTTTCTGTAAATAAAATCACATAGGATTGCAAAAAAATTTTGTGGCTTGCTGTCTTGTCCCTTTTTTCCATCAATTATAGGCATATGTTTTAGCTATCAACTCTTAATGTTTCACCCATATGGATGTTCTTTAAACATAATATTTTTTATTTTTTTTTAATTATTATTATGTTTGCTCATAATTGTTTGTTAATGGTAGTTGTAGGATCTTAGATCCTTGATTTAATATTAAAAAACCTTCCATTGATAAAATCTTGATCAAGGGAAATAAACCATACATGTAAACATTAGTGGTATTTTCAGTCTTTTAGAATATAAGCCAATGGGTATGTTTGAAGATCACCCTTTTCTTGCTGTAGCAGGGTGGCCATTAACCCATTAGGAAAGATTTGTGTGAATAACCTAGTGCACAGAAAAGAGAAGATAAAGGGGTTCTATGAGAAACAGGTTAAAAAGAGTTTGTTGGTTGTCTTGGTAACTATTGTATGTTTAACAAAATATGTCAACAAGTCAAGAAGTTATATTCCATTGGGAAGGAGTGGCTTCACTGTTAAACATCTGGAATAGTGTGCGGGAGCAATGCGACTGTTGTTAGGCATGAGAAAATAGGCCAGTTATGCATTTTGGTCATTTGTCTAACATTATCTGTAATAGTCAGCTGATTTGGCATTAATTAAGACTATTTACGTGACTGTTAGCTGATGATCAAAGTGAGCAAATAGATAAAAATAAAATAAAAATAAAAGGTCTTAATGACGAGAGTTTGATCATTTGGCTTACTATTAGCAACAATCAATTAGACTTAAATCATTGAAAATGATAATGTTCACAATGTTTGAAGAGAGTGATAAGGGCTAACATAAGAAAAGGGTTACTTAGGACATTTTAGTTATTTTGTCAACTGTTAGATATCTAACAATTAGCCAAATAAAAATTCTTATTGGGAAAGAGTATATCTATTTGGCTAACTGTTAGGTATCTAATAGTTAGCGAAATGACCATAAAGAGTGTGTGTGTGTTTGTGTGTGTGAGTGAGGGAGAGAAAAAGAGAAAAAAAAAGGAATTACAATAATAGGATAAGGTGTCCTTAGAATCAAACACTTAACATGTATACAAATCAATGTATAAAAAAGCTTAAGGTGTCCTTAGAATCAATGTATAATAATAGGATAAGGTGTCCTTAGAATCAAACACTTAACATGTATACAAATCAATGTATAAAAAAGCTTAAGGTGCAATGCGGCGATGAAGGACTTGCTGCGCCATTTCCTAGAGGCGTGCCTCTTTGAAGTGAGGCACACAATATAAAACAGATAAAGAAATTTGCTTATGTGCGCCTCAGGTGCGCCTCTTTGAATGTGCCTTGCCTAGAGCAAAAAAGGCGCTTTACCCTAATCGTCGAGCGCCTTAGCGCGCCTTTTTATACACTGATACAAATTAGCCCAATTCCTTTGCAAGTCCTTAATTGTGTAGCTTTGGAAAGTCCCGATTGCCTTAATCCATAAAGACGCTGACAAATTTACTTTATCTCATAGTAAGTTGGGACAATACACCATTAATAGTGCGACCATTTATCTCCAGCCAAATACTAAATATTACTTATTATTACCAATCACTCCATTTCTTCAAAGCAACTTCTTGTTTTTCACCACTCCAAACCCTACAAAATGAATCCATAGCTACTCTTCTATCTTTCAAAGAGCGTACTTAGTTTGCTTCACACATCATAAACACTCGTCTTTTCCTTTCTCTCATCCTATGATCTGTGAAATATGGATCATTTTTTTAATGCTGCTTTTATTTATTCTATACTTTCTTCATCTGCCTTGAAATATTAGGCATCTGTATGTTTAGTACATAAAGTAAGGAGCGCTTAAATGCTGTATTGAGGTATTTGACATGTGTTTGGCATTAGGTTCTGGAATGGAAATTAGAGTTTATTTTTTTTAATTTTTATGAGTAGCATTTAGTATTGAACTAGCCAATAGTGTTAATGGTTATGTTTTAGCAGTTACTTTAAAATTTGGAGTTGTGCTAAGAAAAGCTATTAAAAGTTCATGTTTTTTTGATTTTTTAATTTATATTATTATTATTTATGCATCTCGTGTTATCTGCAATAATTAAATTTGTTATCTTTTTGTTGCTTATCTATGGTATTTTGCACTTGTGCTGAACACTTATATAAGATAATTATTTTGACAACTAATCTCTAACTGCTAACTTCTAACCACTAGCTGGAACAACTTAGAGCAATACAACAACTATTGTTGCCGTACAGACCTTCACTACTTCAGTAATCATAAGAAGCTGGATATGTTGTGAATAAAAAACAAAAAAAAGGGAAAAAAAGTGGAAAATTGATATATATATATATATATATATATATATATATATATATATATATATCAGGATATAATACTTGGGTTATTTTACTATATGCTTATTCTTGGCCATCCAAGCGTTTATGTTATTGGCCTTAAATTTCCCTTTTGAGGTTTTTTGAGAACTTTAAGTATGTACCTCAATCCTGCGTAGACCCCTTTTTTTGTGGTTGCTTTGGGGGGGGGGGGGTTGGGGGGAACTAACATGCATGCTAGATACTTTCTGAATATTCGTGCAAAATATCCAAAAAGAAAGTACCTTCACATCCCAATATGTTATCTAACTGACCTCCTTGCCTCATTGTAGGAGTGTTGTTTGAGGCATGTGGCAGGTTATGGTCATGTATGAAATAGTTAACCCATTGAGAGCTCACATATTCAAGATCTGTAATTTAACTGTAACTAATATCAGTAGATATTTAAGGGAAACTTTCTATGATTGGAAAGAGATCATTGGTAGGCTGGATCATCTTCATGCATGCTAGATAATCTCTGAATGTTTGTGCAAAATATATAAAAATAAAAAATAAAATTACCTTGATGTCCCAATATATTTTCTCTATGTAACTGATCTCCTTGTCTCACTGCAGGTTATGGTCATGCTCTTATGAAATAATTTACCCATTGAGAGCCCACATACTCACAATTTGTAATTTATACTGCCAAACCTTTGTTTTTCTGAAGTTTGAGTAACCTTATTCTGGCCTGTAGTATGTTTTGTGTGCGTAGTAGCTGTTATCCATTAGCAATATATCTATTATTATCAGTGAAGCATGCGTTTTTGGCTACTACTGTGATTTGGAGATTAACTATTATGTAGACCTCAGATAACGGCATATCAGCCATTCATTAAATACTTTTTCCTAACTCGGAACAAGGCTAGTTTTATCTGATTTTAAGAAGTTTTTTCCTTTCTCCAGGTGAAAGGAAGCGTCATCCAGAAGACCAAACTGGTGCTGCTGCTAATGGAAATGCTTCTCAAACCGATGGTGGCCCATCTGTAAGTATACTGCTCAGAAGTTCTGTTCTTTTCACCTAAAAACAACATTTTTTAGACAAGTTCTGCAAGTTCGAACAACTTCCAATAAGGCTTGGCGATGCTGACCAAAAGCTATGTTCTCCATAATATGCTATTTACAAACACCAAATTTTGCTCTGTATTTGCCCATTTTTATTTTAAAAGTTTGGCTCATTGTGAGACACATACAAAGTATAAAGATGCGACAAGCGAAAGGAGAGTTCTAGTGTACAGTACTTGGTGCCACTTTCCCACTTCACAAAGTTTTCAATTCTATGAAAAACCTTGGATGGTTATGTTAGTACATAAGAACTATCATGAATGGACTGGTGTCACACTGTCACTAGTTCTTGTTGTTTACTGTTCTGGGGTATTGTTCTATATTGTTTGAAGCTAATGGTCAATGCTTTATTGCTATTACAGGCTACACATCGCAAGACTGGTGCACAGGAATCTGCAGCTCCAAACAATATTTTGTTTGTACAAAACCTGCCCTATGAAACAACCAGTATAATGCTGCAAATGCTCTTCCAACAGTACCCAGGTTTCAGGGAAGTGCGGATGATTGAAGCAAAGCCAGGCATTGCCTTTGTGGAGTTTGATGATGAGGACAAAGCTGCAATAGCAATGCAGGCGCTTCAGGGCTTCAAAGTTACACCACAGAATCCCATGGAAATCACTTACGCTAAGAAATGATTTTATTCCGTACCCTTTTGTGGGAGTGTGATTGTCAATGGCAGCTGTAGACTGTAGTTCTACCATATGTAAGATACAAAGAGAAAAGTGTCAAATTTTCTTCCAAGGTGTCCTGCATTATTGCATTAAGTTAATTGTACATCAGATGATATCCTGTTACCTGTTATGAGAAGGTCTGGTTTTTTAGAGCAGCTATAGTTATAAACTAGCTAGTATTAGTGAGAAACATATTTCAATTTGTTCAAAACTCGTTTTCCATACGATTAATCGATAATTATGTGGTTATTGGCGAATGGAATCTTATAGTTTTAGTTTGTTTTCAAGGAGATTGTCTTAGGGCTTATTCGTGCCTCCCACAACGATTGCAATTTCTATGACCCCAATAAAGCTGCATAATTACGGTTTGTCAATGTGCCATCCTCACATCCAACCATAGGGCCTCTAGATCCATATAGCTCATACATAAGCCCTTTTTGAATGTGGCTTCGCATGAAGGATATATACTACGGTTTTCCTTACTCTCAAATCAACAACCTTACTCTCATCAAAGTCAAAATCAACTAGGCGACGTAGATCAGATAAGAGTACTCTTCCAAGCATTTCTTATCATTTGAATGAAAACTACAAAAGCATAATCTTGTCACCTCCACCGGTTAGAATATGCGGAGTAACCATTTTCCTATGTTCCTAACATAACTACATAAGGAAACCATTGTCATCTCCTTAAATTCCTTTCATATACGGAGTATTATTTTATTAAAGCATAAATCATGTTCCATAATATTACAATTCTTGGTTAGTACATCGTCCCTTTTATTATCTTTTTAAATTACCACTAATATAAATAGTATGTTAATATGATAAACAAATACATGGACTAAATAACTCTAGCCATTAATTAAATTATACTCCCTCTATTTTTAAATGTTTGCTCCATTTCTACGTTTTGCACTATTTATTTATCCTACTTTAACTAATGTTTGTGATTTATACATAAAAAAAAATATAGTTTTGTGGATACTTGTTGGAATCATCTCAATGAATAGATTATTAATTTTCAATTGTTAGAATTTATAGTCGTTGATAGTTAAAGATATTATTGATCAAAAGATTAACATCGACATACGTGCTCAGGAAAAATAGAGCAAGTATTTAAGAAGGGAACGAGTACTAGCAATACTAATTAATAACCAAAGGTTAATCTCGAAACTTTATTTTTGCTCATAAAAGTATAATAACTTTTTTTAAAAAAATTATTTATGAAAACAATCGTACTAGGAAGTGCACTTGTACTTAAACTTCCTCAAATATGGTCTGCCCCAGATGATATCACACCCTCTCCCACTTACTACCTTCTTCCCAACTTTCCTCAAAATAACAAAAAATTCAACCATTTTTCTTCTACAATTAGAAACTACTTCTTCCTGTACTTTCCTCCATTTTCTCTCCTCCAATCCTTCAATGGCGAAATCAATGAAGCATGAGAACAATAACCCTTTCGACCTCCTTAACGAAGAACTCCTCTTCATAATCCTCGATCATCTCTCCATTGACGACCACCTCTCTGTTAAATCATTTTCTCTCTCCTCAAAATTATTCCACTCCGCCGAATCACAACACCGAAGATCCGCCAAACTCCTCCGACCCGAATTCCTCCCTTGCGTTCTTCGTCGTTACCCGTTTCTCTCTCATCTCGACCTCTCTCTCTGTCCTCGAATCACTGATACCCAGCTCCAAACGACGTCGTCTTTGGGACCCGTTTTGCGGTCCATTAAGCTGACTTTGTGTAGGTTTGTAACCGGGTTAGGGGTTTCGGATCTGGTATCAAAATGCCCGAATTTGGTGGAGCTGGATCTTAGTAATGGTACTGAGCTTAGTGATTCTGCTGCTGCCGCCATTGCTGGAGCACAGAATTTGGAGAGGTTGGTAATGGTGAGATGTAAACGGGTTTCGGATATGGGTATTGGGTGTATTGCTGTTGGTTGTAAGAAATTGAAGAGGGTTAGTTTGAAATGGTGTTTAAGGGTTACTGATTTAGGGGTTGGTCTTCTTGCCCTTAAATGCAAGGGCCTTTGCTCTTTGGATCTTTCTTATGTTCCGGTATTTGATTTTCTCTTTTTCTTTTATCTTCGTGTTTGCCATTTAAAGTGTTCCATTTTCGAATATGTACATTGAAGTGATTTTAATACGTTACCATATCACATGACTATGTTTTTTCGTGTATGTAAGAGTTTTGGTTAGCCATGAGTAATGCGAGTATTTTACGACTTCAGTGGACAGTTGGACCCTGGAGATACTAAGTTAACGTACGAATTAATACCAATAGGGTCCCACTAAAGTGTCAAGGACTCGGGTTACTGTAGGAAGAGACTTTATCTATAGTTTTGGCTTTGTGTAGGAGATCAAAATGGGACTGTGGGAGTGGTATATTGAAAATTCAGAGTGGCATTACTTATGTGGGATGAAATTTTTTATTAAGTGGACAAATACTGCAGCATTTTTAAGAAGTAATTATGGTTTTGGTTGATTAAGTGATATTCTTGATGATTAGTCATACATTCTGCAAATGTGAATAAATTTTTTTTGCATTATAATGTTATTGGGCTTCTGCATGTTTATGTAGACTTTATTGACTATGATTACACTTATGTATGTAATGATTCTTATTTAGGAACAGATTTAGTACCAAGCATGTCTTATATCTAATACATATCAATTACATCGTGATGGTGACACGCTTTAGTTATGTCTTGACCGTATGTGAAGCAAGATGTCACGACTTATCTTCTTAGCCACCAAGCAAAGTACAAAACACTTATACGGTTATACCTATACCATTTTTGCTTACAAAAAAACTAATTGATTAACGATTGCTCCAACTAGGTAGCGAGAAGGTGATTAGGATAGTTATCTGTGCTGAATGAAATTTTTGTGTTAGGCTTCTTTATGATGCAAGTAGCTGCTGTTCGTCTTGTAAGCATTTAAAGTTAATTCAGCTCTTTTGCATTTGCACAATAAATAATCATTTACTTGAAAGATACTTATCCTTATTTACATGTATAACAGATTACAGAGAAAAGCCTTAAGCCTATATTGCAATTATCTTCTCTGGAAGATCTAGTGTTAGTGGGATGTCTTGGCATTGATGATGACGGACTTGGTTTACTTGAAAAAGGTCACACTATGTTAAAGGTCTGCAATTTCTTGTGCCAGATCATATCCTTACTTAATACATTTTCTTGTAGTTTCTGACTTCAAAATTCTAACCCCCTCTATTTTGCTCTTTATCCATCTTATCACTTCAATAGACACTTGATTTATCCAACCGTCAGAACATCAGTCACACTGGTTTAGCCAATTTGACTAGAGGTGCTGGATCCCTGAAAGAGATCATATTGGCATATGGCTCAGCTGTAAGTACCAAGAGATCTATGCACTTTTCTTATATTTTTACAAGTTATCTAAAGCAGAATAGTATGATTAATTTATAATTTTTCTCGAGTTCAGGTTACTCTTGACATAGCGAAGTGTCTTCAGAATCTCTCAATGTTGCAGTGTCTGAAGTTAGATGGTTCCCCAGTCACTTGCTCTGCATTGAGGATGATAGGAAACTGGTCTGGTTCTCTCAGGGAGCTGAGCCTGAGTAAATGCTCAGGTGTAACTGATGAAGGAATTGCCTGTATCGTCAGGAAGCATACAGAATTGAGAAAATTAGACATCACTTGCTGCCGCAAGATATCATTGGTGTCAATTGACTGTATCACAAGGTCATGTACTGCTCTCACTTCCCTTAAGATGGAGGCTTGCTCTCATATCTCTGCAGATGCTTTTGTATTGATTGGACTGCGTTGTCGAGTCTTGGAGGAATTGGATGCAACAGACAATAATATAGATGATGAAGGTTCGCTTCTACAATGCAGCTTGAAATCCCTTTCCTTCTTGTCACTCTTTTAGTAACAAGGTTATGACCACTCCTATTGCAGGTCTAAAATCTATTTCTAGATGTTCTAGGCTTTCCTGCTTGAAGTTAGGGATCTGTCTTGGCATTACTGATGAAGGGTTGATTCAAGTTGGGATACATTGCTCTAAGCTAAAAGAGATTGATTTATACAGGTAAATTTGATAGATTGCTGGAGTTATTAGCTTGACAGTGTCATTAAAACATTTGGCTAGAGATTACATTACTGAAAAAATCGAGCTGCAAACTCAAATTACATTAATTGCTTCCAAATTCCAATATTATTAGTAATTAAGCCCTTTTGTTTTCTACCAGAGCCGTAAGAATATCTGATAAAGGCATTGCATCAGTAGCTGAAGGCTGCCCTATCCTTGAGTTGATCAACATAGCATATTGTGATCAAGTTACGGATGTCTCTCTAATAATGTTATCAAATTGTTCGAGATTAAAAGCATTGGAAGCTAGAGGTTGCTCTCATATCACATCAAAAGGTCTGGCAGCCATTGCTGCTGGATGCGGGCAACTTGCTGTCCTAGACATAAAGAAATGTTTCAGAATTGACAACTCCGGAATGATTCCTCTGGCTCGTCATTCTTTGAACCTCAAACAGGTATAAAATCAAATTCGTAATTGTTGTTTCTTAGCTCATTATCCTATTCACAACTCTAACGGACTACTTTTATCAATGTCGGCAGATAAATCTGTCGTATTGCTCAGTTACAGATGCTGGACTGTTAGCATTAGCGAGCAGAAGCCCATTGCAGAACATGACGGTATTACATCTGGCTGGATTGAGCCCAAATGGGCTAGCAGCAGCCTTGCTGGCATGCAGGGGATTAAAGAAAGCGAAGATCCACGAATCCTTTAAAGCTCTGCTTCCTCAAATCCTTCTTGATCACATGGAGAGCCGTGGTTGTGTGTTTCACTGGAGAGACAAAGCCTTTCAGCCTCAGGTGATCAATCTTCTCAGTTGTCCTCTTATTTAATTTCAAACCAAATCCCCTCTTGTCTCATGCTTAATAAATTTGTTAACAAATGACTGAGAATATCTGAAGTTATTGACTTATCATTAATATTTAGATGACTGAATTATATGGTTGACAAATGATTGAGAAAATTCCTTTATGACTTGGGCAGGTTGACACAGACCCATTGAACTGGAACCTACAGAGTAATAGACACTCCTGACCCATTTGACACTCCATTTGGACCTGGAAGAAGAAACACATACGACGACTATGAGTACTAATTTATTGTAATTTTATTTAGCTTTCCTTTTTCCTGTTTCTCCCCTAATCACTAATCTGTTGTTTGTGCTTTTTTTTTTTTTTTTTTTTATTATTTTTTTATATAGAAAGAAACCTCATGAAATCGGCAATAATGAGGCATATCTGATAAGGACTTAATTTAACACAAGTATGTTAATTAATTAAAATAATTATAGTACGTTGTCAACTGCGTGATATTGTTATTTTTTAAGTGTGGATAACTTATAAATTTATTATGGTTGTATTAATGTCAACCAACCAAATGAGGTTGACAAGATTTCATACAGAATTGGTCCATCAATTTATGATGTGTTCACACAATATGCTACAGTAATTTCATACTGTATTAGCTTTCCAAATAATTGTACTTGGTATCAAATACCGCTTAATATTACTTTGCACTTTCTTGTTAAATCCCTGATATCCCTATCCCCCCTTCCCCTTCCCCTTCCCCTTCCCCTCCCCTCCAATCTCTCCTCTCCTTATTCTAGCTTCTTGAACTAAGATCTGCTCTTACATACATCCGAGTGTATGATACGCGAGTAATTAGCATGAGTAATACGGGCGCCACAAGGCCATGGGAACATACATACATTAAGAGCTATACGAGTACCTACATCGTATATTCGGATCTACGATGGCCAAAAAAGAAAAAAAAATACTTTTCTCTAAAATGGAAAAGTATAATGTGGGATAAAAGAAAGAAGAAAAAGAAAAGTAAACAGTTATACAAATGGAAATTTGGGAGAAAAGAGAGGTTGTTGGGTAGCCATTAGGAAGAAGCCACACTCGTGCTACATATGAAAAGGGGACCCACCCAGAAATTATGGAAATGTTACCCATTAATTTGTCTCTCTTTATTTTCTGGTATAATTGTATTCGTATCTTAGTCAGCCGCCTCTAGTGTCTGTTTTGTAATTGTATTGTATCCTAATCAGCAATCCAGTCAAACCCACATATTTTGACCAGTTTAGTCTCTTTCATCTTTTTTATTTTTAGTTTTTTTTTTCATTTTTAAGTGTTATTGCCGTGGGAATTCCACGGTCAAATGCCTCATCACCTTCTTAGAAGATGCCCATCTCTTCTTATAGCTTTTCCCTTGCGCGTTACGTGACCCTTTTACATTCCCCTTTTTTTATTTTATTATTATTATCATGCCTACCTAATATCGTCTTTTACTGCTCATTTGGGCGGTATACCTAAGTTTTATTTCTTTTACGAATTGTTGATTAATTTCTAACTTAATACTCCGTACTAAAAAAAGAAAATACATTAATGCTTATTAGCATTACCCTTTTTTTGAAAAAGTATCCTATTGAATTTTTACCATTTTAGTGAGACCGATACGTAGTATAATTTAATTACTCTGTACAACTTTTATACCGAAATACTAAATACTCATGTGGAAATTAAAAAAAAAAAAAAATTATCATTACAAGATGAATAAATTAGCTCACATAAAAAATCACATGAAAAAAATCTCACCACCCCATTTGTATTGAATTGAACCCTATAAAAGTCTCTCCCTTTCCACCTTCTCACAATTTTCTCTCTCTTACACAACTCATCATCTCATCCTTCTTACTTAACTTTCTCTCTCTTTCATTACATGGGCTATGGGCTTCTCTAATGCCACCTTAGACACCAACAATCACAACAACAACAACAACAACAACAACCACAACAACCGTTACAATTTGGGAACCGGGTCGGGTATTCCCAAATTCAAGTCGTCACCACCTCCTTCGATTCCTATCTCACCTCCTCCCATTTCACCTTCTTCTTACTTTGCTATTCCTCCTGGTTTGAGTCCTACTGATCTCCTAGACTCCCCTGTTCTTCTCTCTTCTTCTAATGTAAGTTTTTTTTTTTTTTTTTTTTTTTTTTTTTTTTTTTTACCAAATAAATAATTTGAAAATTTAAACAAAAACCCATTAATAATTTTAAGATTAAATATGAAATAGATGATTAATTATTGTTTGGGGTTTGTTAAATTTTGCAGGTGTTACCATCTCCAACAACTGGCGCTTTTGCTGCCAACTGGAAATCTTATTGCAGCAACGTTAACAACAACACCAACAACAACAACAAACAGGAAGATGTGAACAATTATTCAGATTTTACATTTCAAACCCAAATGAAGCCTATTGATGACGTTTCATCTACTATGTTTCAATCTTCAATGCCTTCGTTTATTAATGTAAGTTTTTTTTTGGTTCCATTTCAATCACGCGTTGATCAGTGTAATTAAATGTTTACTATATCGAGTATGGACTTTGGGATATGTATTTAAAGTATTTGTTGTATTTTTTAAAGGGGTTACGTTTAACATTTTCCAGTTTTAAAACGCGTTGTTGTTGATAAAAGCTTTGCTGTTTTAAATTTACTTTTTTTCAGGAACAGGCTATAAGAGGAAGGGAAAACCAACAACCACCACCACCCCAACAACAATCATGGAGTTTTGGAGATCAAAACAAGCAAAACAATGAGCAATCGTCGAATTCGATTACGACTATGGTGAAATCGGAGTATCCTAGTGAGAGTTACAATCAGGGAAACGTTGTACAATATGAAGGTGAACAAAATTCATCATTCCAACCAGATCAATTTACAAGAGAACAAAGAAAATCAGAAGATGGGTATAATTGGAGGAAATATGGGCAGAAACAGGTAAAAGGGAGTGAAAATCCGAGGAGTTATTACAAGTGTACATTCCCAAATTGTCCAATGAAGAAGAAGATTGAAAGGGGAATTGATGGTCAAATTACTGAGATTGTTTATAAGGGTACTCATAATCATCCAAAGCCTGTAAATACCAGAAGAAACTCTGCTTCAGCTGTTTCTGCAGCTTTTCAGCAGGGTTCTGTTCCTCAATCATCCAATGATTACCATGATCATTCATTGGGTCCACAGAAATCATCATCGGGACAGATGGATTCCGTTGCTACACCGGAGAATTCATCGATTTCGATGGCTGATGATGAGGTGGGTTCTCAGAGGAGTAGATCAGCTGGGACTGATCTTGATAATGTTGATCAACCTGACGCTAAAAGATGGTATACCTTTTAACTTGCTCATGATATTATGTTATTTTTCTCTTATGTCAACCAGCTTAGTCGGTTAAAGTCTTGGGATTTATCCCATCTGCGACAAATGCTAATTATTTGATTTGTTTATGTGAAATAATTAGGAGAGGAGAAGTGGAGAATGAATGTATGTCAGCAGCACCAGGGAGTAGAGCAGTGAGAGAGCCAAGAGTAGTAGTTCAAACAACAAGTGATATTGATATCTTGGATGATGGATATAGGTGGAGGAAATATGGTCAGAAAGTTGTCAAGGGAAATCCAAATCCAAGGTAAATTCATAGTTTTTCCTTTTTTTAATGCTATTCATTTGTTTTTGGTTCATAAAGTTGTATTGGATTTTGGTTAGTTTTAGTATATATAAAGTGAACATTTTTGTATTGAAATTTGTCTGCCTTTTTGATGCATTTTGGGTATAGGCAATAAAAAATTTCCATATTGATGAATAATGATGATGGAATGGCTTTAATTTCATTACTTTGCTAATTTTAGTATCATTAATTTGATATTATCCGGGATCTTTGATTAGTGTTTGGTTGGTAACCACTATTGTCATTTGATTCTATCATTATTAGGCCTAATTCAATTAGTTGAAGTTCAGTTCATACTTAATAGTTACTTTTCAAGATACCTATCTGACTTTTATGATGCCACATTGATTACAGGAGCTACTACAAGTGCACGCACCCCAATTGCCCGGTGAGGAAACACGTGGAACGGGCAGCTCATGATCTGAGGGCAGTGATCACAACCTATGAAGGAAAGCACAACCATGACGTTCCTGCTGCTCGTGGCAGTGGAATGAGCAGGGCAGTCGTGCCTCCTAACAATGGTGCAGTGCCCGCTATGGCTATAAGGCCATCGGCTGTAAACTATATGAGTTCAAATGCAGGCAACAGCCACTCTTACCAGACTAATCAAGGAATGCCCTCATCTTTCGATGGTGCAGGACCATTATCTCCCTTTACATTACAGCTGCTGCAAAACCCTGGGAATTTCGGGTTCTCAGGGTACTTAAATCAACCTCAATACTCAGACAACAACATGTATTCTGGTAATACAACAGCAACAACTACTACTTCTACTACTGCTAGAACCAAGGAGGAACCAAAAGAAGACATGCTTTTTGAGTCGTTGCTTTGCTGAAAGATCATACAGTATATTTTGCCTCTTAGTTTTTTAGGGGGGTCAGAGGAAATTTTTACTAAGAGGAAATTGGTAGTATTAGTTTTGACCGACAAAAAAAGATCAAGATTCATTTGTTTATTGTATTCAACATGGTTGGTTTGTTTATTTGTTTATATAGGAGTGTACACAGAAATGACATATAGGAGTTTAGGCCAAAAATGTGCCCATGCTTTGCCTTATTGTATATTGTATACATGAAAATGTATGTATAAACTCTATTGATTTTTAGTACTTTTTGTCACTGACTTTTTCTCCTCCGATTGATTTGTGGCTGTCAGCCTGTCACCAGATGGAATTTATAGTATCATACTCCGTATTACATAAGGCTTATTTAATACACTCTGAGGCGGTAGGAGCAACGATAGAACACTCTCATGAATCAGACTTTTAATCCGAATCGAAGGCAAATTTTTGATATTTTAAAAAGTATGTAGAAGTATCTTAAAAATTTCCTTATTTATCAGGAGGGTAGTTTGGATTAAAATATCTAAGAGTTGATCAAGAGGATCCGATTCAGGGATCAACTAGGAGTTTCTCAAGGAAGCCAAAAGGCGAAAACCATAACTGTTTAGTATGACTTATACCCTTATATTACGCTACACAATGAAACTTAATTGGAGGAAAGTTTTCTATTAACTCAATGCGTACTACTATACACCATCATGGTCCTACAATATTATAGTAAGATAACAAACAAACTTGTATAAAGAAGACTTTGGGATTGTTTAGCATTCTTTGACTTGTCTTATAGTTGGCTTCAAAGGGTACTAATTGACAATGTACTTTTGCACGAAGTATCTGAAAAGGAAACATGGATTCTAATGTGAATTTGGTCAGAGTAGATTGCATGAATTTGGCTGTGCTAGTCAAATTCCAACCAAAAGAGAGACAGCCTTAAATGGGAAAATTAAAGGGTGAGAAAAAATTAAAGGATGAGAAAGTAGTGTGTGTAAATGCATGATGTCGATAGAGTAAAACTCACTATGCGTCACTTTGATTCTTGTCCAGTGGAATCAAG